GGTTCTTTTCTGACTTCACATACTCTAAAGAGAGTACTCCATTCCTTATCAAGTTTCTAACAAATTCATGCCTTATGTAAATGTGCCTCTTCTTACCATTGTAAGCTTGGTTCTTGGATAAACTAATTGTAACTTGTGAATTACACAGTAAGGAAACTAGAGGACTCAGTCTTCCCCTCAACAGAATTTTAGCTTATAAATTTTTGAGCCACTCGTCTTCCTGCCCAGCTAAGTCAAGAGCTATAAACTGTGACTCCATAGTGGAACGAGCAATACAGGTTTGCTTCATAGATTTCCACGAGATCACTGTTCTACCTAATGTAAAAAATATACCCACTCATAGAGCTTATCTCATCATTATCAGAAACCCAATTGGTATCACAATATCCTTATAACACCGCAAGATAGCCAACAAACTCAAGTCTCCAATCTATTGTACCCTTAAGGTACTTAAGTAACCGAAGAAGAGTGACCCAATGTTCACCACTTGGGTTGTGAGTATATCTACTAAGTCTGCTTACATCGTAGGCAATATCAGGCCGAGTATAATTCATTAAGAACATCATGCTCCCAATTATTTTAGCATACTATGTTTGGGAAACTCTAATTCCTTTATTTTTAAAGAGATGTATGCTAGGGTCATTAGGAGTTTGGACATGGACTACGTCAAAATTGTCAAATTTCTTTAACATTTTCTCAATATAGTGTGTTTGATTTAAGGAAAATCCTTTTTCAGTTCTGGTAACTTTGACTCCTAAGCTTACATCGACTTCTCCTAAATCAGCTATCTCAAATTTGGTAGACAAGAAATCTTTTGTTTTGTTAATGGACTCAATGTTAGTACTGAAAATCAACATGCCATCAAAAAACAAACTTATGATGATGCAACTAACACAAAAAATCCTCGAATACACGCATGCATCCAAACCATTCACAACAAAACCAAAACTAAGGATAGTTTTGTGAAATTTCTCGTACCACTGTTTAGGAGATTGCTTGAGGCCGTCAAGTGATTTTTAAGTCTACACACTTTGCCTTCCATACCAAGCACCTCAATCCAAGGGGTTGCTCCATATAGATCTCTTCATCTAGATCTCTGTTCAGAAATACAATCTTTACATCCATGTGATGTACTTGTAACTTGTGAACAGAGGCTAGTGCAAATAATGCACGGATCGTTGAGATTTTTGTTACGGGAGAGTAGGTATCAAAGAAATCTAAACCAAATTTTTGAAAGAACCCTTTGTCGACTAGCATTACCTTGAACCTCTAGATAGAACCATATGGTATGAGTTTCTTCTGGAAGACCCATTTGTTACTGATAGTTCTAAACCCTCTAGGTAAGTCAACCAATTCCTAAGTATGATTAGACATTATTGATTCTAGTTCATCATTGATAGCGCTTTTCCAGAAACTAGCATTAATTGATCTTATATCTTTTTTATATGTCTTGAGAAGACCTAACAAGTATACTAGAAGAAGTGGATGGCAATTTTTATATTTGTTTTTACTCATTTAATCTAGGTTTCTTTAATGGAAAAAAATCTTCAAAGAAAACAACATCCCTAGATTCACAAATAGAGTAGTTTTGTAAACACATAAACTTGTATGTGACACTGTTTGTAGCATACCCTATAAACACTGCATCAATGGTTTTAGGTCAGATGGTGGATTTCTTAAAGTCTGACAAACCCACTTTACCCAGACACACCCACACTTTCTAGTATTGTAGATTTGGAGGATATCTTTTCCACAATTTGTATGGGGTAGAATCTAATTTTTTGTGAGGTACTCGGTTCAAAATAAGATTTACCGATAGAATGACTTCCCCCCCACATGTTGTCAGACAACCTAGAACTTATCAACAATGAGTTCATCATTTCTTTTAAAGTCTATTTTTCCTCTCGGCTATACCGTTCTGTTGAGGAAAATAGGGAGTACAAGTTTCGTGAATTATGTCATTATTCTCACACTCTTTTTTTAAGAAATTTGATCCATATTCACCACCTCTATCGAATTTAACTTGTTTAATTCTCATATCTAATTGATTCACAACTTCTGCCTTATAAATAATAAAGAAGTTCTCAATTTCATGTTTAGTTCTTATGAGATATACTTTTGTGTATCTCGAGTAATCATCCACAAAAGTGATGTAATAGTGTGGGCTAAAGTTTTACCAAAAGTCTTCTTGAGTAAAACCTTGCCTTTGCCTAACACTTCAGAGTTGCTAGAGTTTCTTATGTCCACACGTTCACCTTCGTCCCCATCCTAGAACTCAGTGAAAAATTCACTTGTTACGTAGAAATGTATGGAAGCGCCATTGTTAATAACCCACTCAGCATTATTCTCCACCAGATTCACCTATGAAATCACCGCTGCGATGACATCAACATTTTCTCCACAACGTGCAGCTGTGGTTTGTTCTCATTCTGTCAGTTAGAACGGCGTTGGCACTAGTAAGCTTTGTGGTCGACTTGACCGCACACATATCACTTGAAAAATTTACCTTCAGCTTTGGGCTTCCCTGGCTTTTTGAAATTGGTGCCCTTATGGGGTTTGGTCTTCTTGTTCTGATTTCCTTTTTTCATGGTCCTTTTATACTTAGACACTAAGGCAACACCATATTCAACCAAGCTAGCTTTAAAGGATAAATTACTGACAGAGTTATTAACCTTATCCTTTAACCGGTTAGCCTCATATATTTTCACATGGCCCACTAGATCCTTAAGTGAAATGTCCCTTTTTTATTTTTGAGGGAGTTACGGTAATCGGACCAGGACTTGGGTGGCTTCTCGATCAGGACATTGGCTTGCAGCACCTCGTACATCTGCAGTCCATCAGCAAGGATGTCGAAGACCATATTTTCTTAATAATGGACTTGGCCCATCATTAGTTTGTCATCAATCATCTGAAATCTCAACCACTTGCCAATGGTATACTTCTTAATGCCTACATCATCAATGCCATAGTTTTTCTCGAGCGTATCCCATATAACATTATCTTTTTTCTTTGAGGATCATGTCGAAGAGCTTGTTCGACATATGGCTTATGAGATGGCCTCGCACCGTCTTGTTATCCTTTTCATACTTCTTGTCAGTAGCGACGACAACAACATCAACGACCAAAATGATAATGACATCAGGCACGGTCTCATTACTAACAACAATAGTCGTAGATGGAGTAGTCCCCAGAGTAGGTGGTGGCGGTTTCAGCAGCACATAATAGAGATCAAGCAGCTCGAAGAAAATTAGAATCTGCTGCCACTTTCGGTAATTTAAACCATCGAGTGCACTAAGTTTGGACAGATCAGGGATCAACTTGCTTAGTAGTGTCGACATTCTGCAAAAAAATAATTTGTTTCTAAATTGTTGGAAATGTAGATTGCAAAATAAGGCATTAGCATTGACAGGAAAAATAAAATATAATTGAAAAACAGACAATTGAAATAGTGTCATGGTGAAGACCACTGCCTTCGAAACAAATTTGCCCCGATGTGTGTAATTGTTGCTTCAGGAGGATTGTCCCCCAAAGTTAACACAGTCACTCCGAAATTTGATACACCCGAAATTGGAGTGGACTTCCGGTGGTACTAATCTACTGAATCACTTGAGGAAGAAATCACAAAATGCTTTTGGTTGTGATGATATGTGAGCGTTGAGAAGCTTGCAAAGCCTCTCTATTTATAGGTTGTACGTTAGGGGTAAAATTGTCCAACAAAAATTAGTTATAAATCTGATTAATTTATGCATTAAAATTATGTCTGAAATTGTTGCAATTCGCAGATGATTCTGGCCTCAAATCAGTTCAGGTTTGTGCATTAACTCTAAGTCGTTTGTAACTCCAGGTAATGAACTCTGTAACTCTTATAGTTATTTTGTAACTCGATAATTAAGCACGTTGAACAGAGTTAAAATCTTGTCCATGTTCATCCAACGTTTTAAATATAATTTTTGTTCAAATTTTAATTTTCAGAAATCAAAACTGGTAGCTAATAAATCAACTACTATCCTCTGAAAATTTAAATGGAACAGACCACTGCAGCCTATAAATATCAAAACAAAAATTCTTTCACAATCTTTTGTACTTGAGAAAAATCCTTACAAATTTTCTCTAAAAAGATAGTATTCGTGCGGATGCGTCGAAGACACGTATTGTCATGACCACAAGCCGGTACAAGCGGCGACGTGTGGAATTGCCCCTTGTTCTCTATCACTAAAGAAGGGAGGGAAGAATGAACACTATAAATACCGAAGCCAGTGGTATTTCCCACTCAATGTGGGATAGTGTATTTTTGGGTTACCAACAATTTATATTTTGTTTGGAATTTTCAGAATTAAGGGTTTGATATTTAAGTAATCTTGTTTTTCAAAATTCTTTGAGAATGTCTCGTTGAAGTAAAGATCAACATCAGAGAAAAAGTTTATTTGATTAAATTTCATAGTTAAAATGTTCAGTTGAATGCAAAAGATCAACGTCAGACAATAAGTTTATTTGATTAGTTAAAAAGTTCAGTTGAAAAAAAATAATGTTTTTTTGGAAAACCTATTTGAAATTATCTTCGATTAAAGTCACCTTTTCTCTCGAGATTTGAAATATTAAGCATGAGCACGGCAGTGGTCCAAATTGGAACTTGAATTGCATGTTGTATAAAATACATTATTTCACTTAAATTGATATTCTTTTCCATTCCACAACTCCACAACTCATTCGATGTGTTAAGATAGATCAGTTGATTTACCCCCAAAAAATATTATATCATTCAAATAATGTTTTGAGTTTGAATCTTAATGTTATAAATAAAATAATGTTATAAAAATATGTAATACTCGATTTAATTTAATCCATTAATAAATCAACGAAATGGTACCGAAAGACGTACGCATTTGATTTATCTTTCTAACGCAACAAATCATTTATGCCATTGAAACTCTTTTTGTTTTGCTGGTCACTTTTACGATTATAAAAAAAGGCTCCAATCATTGCACATGCCAAAACAATCATTCAAGAATTTAAGGTAAAAATGAATCATGTCTATAGACTGTATATTTAACATAACAGTAATTGAACTGGCTAACCATCAATTTCCACTAGGGAAAGAACAGTCCCAAACTAGGGAAGCTTCTTTCTTTTTTGGCAAGGAAACCAGGAAACGTATCAATTAATCTTGAACTAAGTAACAAATGGCAGAATTTGCGACAAACATGGAAAAAAAAAACACTTAAATGGGTTGATGTCCAGAACTCCAACAGGGTAGCGAGAACACCGACTCAATTACGTCATCTATGCCTGCAATATGGTTCGCATTCATCAGCATCACTTAGAAGCTTCGTTAAACTGAAGAAACGTAAAAGGGTGTAATCTGCAACTTCATGTTTAACAAAAATTAGTCATCTGCGTCAGCTTACCTTGTTTGCAATGTTGTTTGAAAGCCAGTCAAGTCCCTCGTACAGTCCTTCACCAGAAGTAGCGCATGTGCTCTGGATATACCTGCAAAATGTTTAATATAGAGATGGTAAGTACATTACATATCCACATATAGAGATGGTACGTAACAACGAAAAGTTTCATCATCTTACCAATGACGCTGGCGGAGAGAATGAAGGCCAAGCTTGTCAGTAATCTCAGCAGCATTCATAGCATTTGGAAGATCTTGCTTATTTGCAAATACCAGAAGCACGGCATCCCTCAGCTCATCCTGGCAATGCACATAAAATAATATATTAGATTAAGTCACGAAACCCTGTCCATCAAGCAACTCCAATCATTTCACAAAACATACTCATGGGAAATATTGAGCCAGTAAAAGAAACTTAATTGACCTCATTCAACATCCTGTGCAACTCATCTCTAGCTTCAGCCACACGGTCACGATCATTGCTATCAACCACAAAAATAAGTCCTTGGGTGTTTTGGAAGTAATGTCTCCACAATGGTCGGATCTATATAAAAAATAAAAGCCAGTAAGTCAGTTGAATAGTTGAGAAAAACAAAAACCTTGAAGGAATTTCCATTATTCTAAAAGATCTAACAAGATCAAAGATATACTCAATTTTGACCACTAAGCATCAAATTTTGCATAGACCTCATGAACATATGGCATCTGCTCTCTTTTATAGACTCATAAATTTCGAAACACGTACTTAAGGAAAAATAAAGTGCTTGGATAATATAATATCCAGGACACATCATAATATCTGACAGTATATGAAACCAGAACTGTCCCATCCATAATCTTTGCAGTTTTACAAGAAAGAGCAAAGAATTTACCAAAAGAATATATTATAAGATACCATAGATTTTCCTTTCCTGCAATCTTCAGTTGATGGTAACAATTTCCGTATAAAGTTCAAATCTAGTTACCTTGTCCTGGCCACCAACATCCCAAACGGTAAAGCTGATGTTCTTGTATTCAACAGTCTCAACATTGAAACCTACAAAAATTTATTATATCATAATCAGCCATCTCCTCCTTGAAACAAAACTTATTGTAATAACAAATATCAAACTGTGTTAAGCAAAAAGCGACTCACCAATGGTGGGAATGGTAGTGACGATCTCTCCCAACTTAAGCTTGTAAAGAATGGTAGTTTTACCAGCAGCATCAAGTCCAACCATCAGTATTCGCATCTCCTTCTTGGCAAAAAGCCGGCTAAATAACTTTGCGAAAGAAAGCCCCATTTTCACGTCTACCAACCAGCAAACAACAAAATCCAAATATAAGTTTCCAGAATCAACAATTTAACTAACATTATTCAACATTAAAGAAGATCCAAATCCAAAGGTCAAATTTAAAGCAAACATAGTATCGTTTGCATGAATTGGTCCAGATAAAAGCAATCTAAATCCAATCAATCACGACATAAATTCAATTCAAAAAATGCAGATCGGAACAAATTATGAACGTACGAGGCTCCAAGACACAGATCAGATAAAACTATGAAATGAATTGCAAATTGAAGATTCTGGAGACAATTTATAACCAAAATTGAAGCCAAATTCAAAAGAAGAAAGCAGATCGGGAGTGAGAAGCTAAATCAGAACATGATAAAGATAGATAGAAAATCTTCATTGGTTTTGAGAGGGGAGAGAGAGTTACCTGAGAGAAATGCGAGCGATAAATAAGCGGGGTCCAACGAAGGAGAGAAGCCAAAATCAACACCTCTCTCAAAATCAAAGCAGCTGTCCTTCAGAGATTTAAAATAGAGTTCGTAGTTTGTTTATCTATACTACGAACCAAATAGTATCGTAGTTTGACCGAGGGCTTCTTGCTTTTGGGTAAAGTACACAAATGGTCCCCTTACTATAGTATATTATTTTTTTGAATACTCTAACTATTAAAAGTTATAAAATGATCTTTAGACTATATATGTTATTTTTTAAGTCCCTTGACTATTAAAAGTTACAAAATGGTCATCCAACTATTCATATGTTTCAAACTCGTTATTTTCCGTTAAAAAATTGATAGTCGTCTGAGTTGAATGTTAATATGCTGACAAGGATATGATAAAATCATAATCATTTGAATTGTATATTCATTTGAGATTCTGATATCAAATTTTATAATATCTCAATCAGTAGGTTAATGTTCAGCTCAAATTATCGTCAAATTTTAGCGAAAAATGATGAGTTTGGAACATATAAATAGTCGAGCGTAATATAGTATAATGTATAAACAAATTGTTGTAAAAGCATGTGAAGGGGTATGCCTTTGAGGATATTCACCTTTATCGAAGTATTATTAAGGGTTGCAGTATGTGACTTTGACGAGGCTTGATATTGCCTTTGTTGTTAACAATGTTTGTCAATACATGAATAGTCCTTGGAATACACATTGGAGCGCTGTCAAATGCATTCTTCGGTATTTATATAGGATAATGGAGTATGAGTTGTATTATCAACCTTATAAATCTTGTGATCTTGTTTGCTATGCGGAAGTTAATTGGACATCGTCAGTTAACGATCGTCGCTCGGGTGGAAACTCTATGTCGTGGTGTTCCAAGAAATAAAGTGTGGTCTCTTGGTTCACTTCAAAAATGAAGTATAAAAACTTGGCCAACCCTGTTTCATAGTTGGTTTATATTGAGCATTTGTTGAATGAAGTTGGGCTATGTGTAGAAGGGAAACCTATTGTCTAGTGTGACTACTCTTCTACCATTTCCATGGCTGCTAATGCTACTCATCATGCCGGTCTGAAGCATGTTGTGATAGATTTACATTTTGTTTGGGAATGAGTGTTAACTGGTCAGCAATTGGTGAATTTTATTCCTACCATCGAAGCAGGTTGCATATATCTTTACTAAGGCCATACCTCTAGTTAAGGGAGTTCAAAAAATTTAATCCGATCGACCCAAACCATTAATCTATTGATCCAATCTAAAAAATTGGATATCTGATCCGTTTTTTATTTTCAGATAATTCATATTGAATATCTAAAAAATATTTTAGATAATAGGATTGGATACGGATCACCTAAATTGGCATTTCACAATATTCAAAAATTTGATAAAAATAGGCCTCTACAAAGTTTACCCAACAAGCCAGCCCACCCGCAATCCAAATGCCTAGCCTCTTGTTAAGCCCGTAAAAAGGGTAAATTTCATAGCTTTTTACTTGGGGTATTGTTTTATTTCAAGCTCATTTAGTTGCATATAATTGTATTAGTAATGCATTGGTGGAGTTTGCTTGTGGACTTTAATTATTCATTAAATGATGCTTTGATAAGGGAAAAGTAGTTGTTGGTTGTTGATCGCTTGTAAATGTCTACTCTAAGGCAAGTAAATTTGTGCAAGTATACACAACCGATTCAAGTAATATAGGGTAAGTGAGTATCGTCTCCACAAGGATAGGTCGAGAAATATATTTTCACCACAACTAGAACTAATGTCACAAACTAAGTCCTACTAAGTTGTCAACTTAAGAACTAATATTAATAAAACAAAAAAGTGATTTAATGAGTTCAGGAAAGTTTAGTCGAGGCAAAATAAATATGCAGAATAATAAAACAAAACAAGACAAGTGCTACTTTAAATATAATGCAAACAACCTCATATATTCAGACATATCACAGAGCACTGATGCTAAACTTTTGCTTCAACAACAATTATTTCTAAGTTCAGAATGAATTATTATGACTTACTATGTTGCCCGACAGGATTACTAGGTATTTTTAGACGGTTGCTATGGCAATACTACTCGATGTTAACTATAACCCTTGGTTTGTCAAACTATTGTTGTAGCAATACATCTCAGCGTAAACTATAGGCTTTGTCTATCCTACACTAGCGTCTATCCCTTTTAGTCGATTGAAACTCACTCCTTATCTCTAAGGTAAAAGTTAGAACTTCACCATCCCGGATTCATTCAATTTCTCACGTGGATCTATCTTAATTCTCTCGAATCTAAGAATCACTATCTAGATAAAAGGCTATCTCTCGATGCTCTTACAATGCCAAGACATGTTTTACCAAAACCCAGTCGATTTCTCGATGCTCTTACAGCGTAAGGTAAAATATTTAAACAATAAGCAAAACAATCATACGCAAAACATAATTCATCATTCATAAACTTAAAAATATTGTTCAGGCAAAACAAAGTTTAACACCAAGTAAGACATTCATGGTTCTATCAAAAGTCTTCCAAGATTCAACGTTTAATACAACCCCAAATAGATAAAGAGTTAAAACAAAGGAATAATGACTCCCAAAACCGGGGGCTTTGTCGTGACGATTCTGATCAGCACTACGCCTGCCTTGGTGATCAACCTCTCTCGAGGCCTGATCACCGCTCTGCTAACATCTGGTTATGGAGGACACCAAGGAAGGTCGGTGGGTAGACGGTGAAGAAGCACTGCAGTTGCTTGCTCACGCCTTAGGTAAAGTTCTTCTCTCTTATTCCTTCCCTTCTTTTCTTATTTGACGGCTACGACTGGTTATTTATAAGGAAAAATCTCCTACGGTTTTGCATGCTTTTTTGGAGTTTCCTTAAATAACTGTTGTCAAATAAATGTCCAGACTTAAAAAGGAAAGGCGGCTACCAGAATAACTAAGGCTTGGTTGCACGTGAAGTAGGTCATCCAACTGGCTTGTGACATAGGCGATTTTGTCACACCTGCTTCAGACTTCCTCAGATAAACCTTGCCTCGGCGAGATAAATCTTCTCCTCACGTTCTCATATGTTTCGTTGGCCTTTGCAAATTTACGTTGTCATGACTGAAATGTTCTTCCTCTGTAAGTTTCCTGCACAAACACAATCCAAACAACCCTTTCTCCTCAGCAGCATCAGTCAAGCCAAATAAATCTTGCCTAAGCAGAATTTATCCACAACAAGCTAATATAACCTATATACAACTAAATGCAACTAAAATGCTATGTATACTTTATTTAGACGAGCAATAACTTAAGTGAAAAGACTAGAAATTAAGTATTTTTAACGAGTTATCACAGCCCCAAACTTAAGCTATTGCTTGTCCTCATGCAATGTACAATAGCTAGAAGAAAATCAAAATTGTCATGGCAAAGCAGAGTTAAGAAAATCATATGGTTTGGGATTTCATCCCTCAGCAAAATTGTTTGGCCTCAACATGTTCGACAGTCATATAAGTCAAGTCCCTTCCCTAGTTAGGATTTTTTTCTATAGTTGCGCGTGATTGTAACCAGTCTTACATAAAGGTAATTAGACAACTTAAGTAAGCACTTCTGGTTTGTCAAGGCAACAAATTATTTGTCAGGCTTAGTTTATACTCCTAGTTATTTATTAACTTTTTTTACGCAGGGGAGTCAGCTCATCACAACTACCGTTCCACACTCTAGGTGAAGGGGAGCATACCTTCCATCCTTAAGCTAGTCGGGCAGAGTCATCATGTGACTACTTTCATTCACTCATATATCGTTGATAATCTTAATTTCTTATGGAGTTCTTCTGTTTATGCCTTTTCATAGAGGAGTGTCCCTTTTTATTTTTCAAGTTTTCAAACATTAGAGAGTTTTTACTTCACCCTTAAAATATTTTTGAAGTATCGGCAAGCAGAAAGTTCTTTTCCCAATATTTTACAGATTACCTGAAACAAAGACAACCTACAATCGTGTTTATGAACTTCAAAGAATCAGACCTAAGGTTGGTTCTCTTCTTTAGACAATCTTAGCAATAATTCTGGCCTAAGCAATCAAATTATGCATTTATCATTGGGCATCCCTAATTCATTCCTAACAATAATCTTAACCTGATTATGTCATGACAATCAAAATTTTCAACCAATTTCATCAACTACTTTCTAACAAAGTATGACAGAATATGGTACAATACCTCCCCCAAACTTGATGGATGCATTATCCTCAATGCATGAAATTAAAACTGTGGTGGGGTGGGGTGGCTTGGCTGGACGCCCTCGTTTGAGAGGAGAAGGACTCTCGAATCCCGAGTCTACTGTTGCTGGCGAGGGAGATGGCTGAAGTATACATCATGTCATTCTCTTGTAGCGCTTCTAGCTGGACGAAGTGCATGCTGGAGTTGACTGCTCGACAGTAAGAGTTGGTTGTGCTGGAACTGGTACCGGACTAAGATTTGCTGTTGGGATTGGTGTAGCTTGACAGACAGGGGACTGGATAGGGTCGTGCTCAGGTTGCTTTGATACTGGTGTGAAATCTTCGTCGGTGAAGAAATAGGTTGGTGTATCATCACTGCTCTGGGTGGTTGAAAAAGATGAGGAGCTGAGGAACTCTTATGTTTCGCCTTGGCCTTCCTCTGGTACGGGTGGAGATGGGTTGCTAGAGGTGGCACATCAGTGGGCACTTCTGGGGGCACTTCTAGAGGGACATGTGATGTGGAGGCATGGAATGTGCTGCCGCCCGCATTGTATTTGAGGATGACACTGGGGAAGGTTGGCAGTCTGGTGTTAGTGTTCGGGAGCAACTCTTTGAAGAAGGCGTTGAGTTGCATGTCCCTAGTTTTGACATACTCGAAGTAAATTTCCATGTGGTCCTCTAGGCTTCCGATCTTTTCACTCGTTTCTCGAGTGTACGTGACCACAACAACCATTCTAGTCGCGACAATGATTTTTCTCCTTGTTTCAAACCTTCATGCGGATCATCATCATTGAAACTAATCAACACGGGTACATTCTTCTTGGTGATGCCCTCCTTGGATTTAATGAAATCCTCAAAGGGCTCCTCAGGAACTTTCTTCTTTTTGCACAATGCGGTTAT